CAGTACCCGTGACCTTCAATGACCTTTGGCAACAACGTGTTACGACGCTCCATCAGGATCGCCGTATTGACCTTGTCCATATCAGTGATTGAACGCTGCCGACTGCCAGGACTGCTGCACTACTTCAAGGTTGACGTGGGGGTCATCAGCGCTCACTCCATGCGACACCGTCTACACACTACAGGGCTCCATGCTGGACGTCCTTACGTTGGACCAATTCTGACCGACAGACACCGTAATGAGCGTATACACTGAGCTAGCAGGGATTTTCAGTAAAGGTTACAACAATGGCATGGTGTGGTAGTCACTGACGAGTCACGTCTTCATCTACGTAATACTGACAGCCGATTACGTGTTTGGCGTAGACGTGGTGAACGTTATGCTGATGAGTGTGTGGTTCAGACAGACCAATCACAGGACTGCCTTCATGTCTGTCAAGGGAGAGTTAATGCCCTTTATTACCGTGAGCAGATTCTTCAGAATCATATCGTATCTGTCTTCAATCACCACCAAGATGTCCATACTTTTCAACAGGACAACGCACGGGCACACACAACAAGTCTTTCCATGCAGAATCTGGCCTAGGAACACATCCAGGTTATTCATTGGCCAGCACAGTCGCCAGATGTATCCCCCATGGAGCACTTGTGGGACAAAATTGGTCAAAGTCTTTCGCGGCGACAACAGATGCGAAACATCCGGGAACTTGAGGCTGCACTACTGCAGAAGTGGAATATCATCCTCAAGAACTCTATTCGGACGCTTATTGACTCAATGAGGAGACGTTGAACTGCCCATCTCAATGCAAATGGCGGTCACACGCGATATTGACTATTCGATTTGACTCCACGTGTGTTTGATCCTTTCTGACTATGTGGCACCCATGAAGGGCCACCTCCTCGTGGTGGGTGCTGGGTAACGCTAAGCGCCCTTCAACCCCCGTTGTGGACCCGGGGGAATATTTGGTCCACCAACCCGTTTGCCGTGGGTTGCGCCCCTGTGTCGTCGGAGGACGGGATTCTGGTGGTTGAGGGCAATAGGATCCTGGAACCGTGTTCCTGTTGCCCAACACACCACTTTGGCCCTTACTTCACCTAGACGGGAGGTAGAACTGGCCCGTTTCTATCCATCGGCTGGTCACGTCAAGCCCTGTTCATGGTGGTTATATTTGCACAATAAATTATGATTGGGTCTTGGGAATTTTTATTTTCAATGTTTAAATTATTAATAACTTTAAATTGCCTAGAGTCCTATGCCAGAAGGCGGTGGCTCATGGGCCAATCTGGTGATGTTGACCTCTGGGTAATGTATGTCTCCAATTTCTTGTCAAGGGCCGAACCAGTCTGGCATTAAATTGGTAGATAAATACAGCTATTCATGTCATATTCTCTGGAGTATAACGCCCCTGTATCCCTGGTGTCAGCATGTTGGATATCCGATGCATATTGACACCGTCCTTGTTGACACTCCATGGTGGGTGGGGAGCAGGGGTGTTGAATCATTTCCTTTCGCCATGGCACTATCACATGCTGGTTCATCTCGTAGTGAAAAGAAAAGACGTTTTGAAGATTTAGATCCAACATCTGTAACAAATTCTTCTGACAGTGATTCTTGGCCACGATTTTTAGTCATTGAGGCTGCAGATTTCCTGCCAATCAAATTAAATCCGTTTGCCATTTCAAAGGCTGTATCTGGTATTTGTGGTGAAGTAAAGAATGCCACCCGTCTTCGTAGTGGTTCACTTCTTGTGGAGTGTCCACGGAAACAGCAATCTGTCAATTTGTTATCCATCAAAACATTTGCCAACATTGAGGTTGCTGTGTCTGTGCACAGAACGTTAAATTCCTGTCGCGGCATCGTTCGTGACAGAGCCAGATGTCTTGCTGACATGAGTGAAGAGGACATTGCCACAGAACTAAAAGAACGAGCAGTGACGGCAGTAAAACGTTTTACAGTCAAGAGAGATGGTGTTATCATTAACACCAATACGTATCTTTTGACGTTTGCTCGGTCTCATATTCCAACATCAATTAAAGCAGGATATTTCAACATGGGAGTGGAGGTGTATGTCCCCAATCCACTCCGGTGTTATAAATGTCAGAAATTTGGCTACGGATCACAGTCTTGTCGTAACTCTCAGACCACCATGAGGAACCAGATTGTCAGAAAGATCACAAGTGCGCAAACTGTGAGGGTCAGCATCCTGCTTCATCCAGGGCATGCCCTGTGTGGCAAAAGGAGTCCAAAATCATGAGACTTAAGTGTGAAAACAATATTTCGTACTTTGAGGCAAAAAAAATGTTATCAGGCCAAACATCAACTCCATCCACTTTCACATATTCTGCTGCAGTTACACAGTCCGTAGCAACGTCCTCTATTTCCTGTCAGATTGACTTGACTTGGGTCAAGTCAGAGAAACCTATCGTGTCAGCTACTGTAACTACGGCTGCAGTCACTCAGTCTCCACCCCCGGTCACTACATCTACGTCGGGAAGCCAAACAGACCGTCTGCCTGGCAATTCATCTCAAACGTCTTCGTCTCAACCATCAAGTGCAAATACAAAGAAAAAGAAAGAAAGGAAACTAAACAAAAACAACCCTACCATCCCTTCAGCAGCATTATGTCTTCAAGAGACTTATCTAAAAAATACTGATAACTTTAATCTGAGACAGTATACTGATTATCACTCCTTTTCTCCTCCAGGAGATAAAGCAACTGGGGGTGCTACCATTTTGGTGCGCCAGGGTATTATTCATAGCCCTGTATCTCTGAATACCAATCTTCAAACTGTAGCTGTTCGGCTGACCTTGCACATTGCTTTGACTCTGTGCAGCTTGTATATCCTTCCTTCTTCTGACATTCGACTGTCAGATCTTCAAAATGTATATGATCAACTTCCGAAGCCATGTCTCATTATGGGCGATCTTAACGGACACAACCCTCTTTGGGGAAGTGCCCACATTAATACTAAAGGTAAAATACTTGAGGATTTCATTTCCGATAACAATTTATGTATTTTTAATGACGATTCAGCCACCTATTTACATCCAACTACGGGAACATATTCTTCCCTGGATTTATCACTTACTGATTCAACCTTATATAATGAATTTGAATAGATGGTACATGATGACCTATGTGGGAGTGATCACTTCCCAACCATTCTCAAAAACATCAACCCTGGTGATGATCCACCTGTATTCAGAAGGAACTTTGCCAGGGCTGACTGGTCATTGTATAAGACTATGTGTGTTGAACACATTACGCATGATCTTTTTAGGAACAGTGAAGATCCTATACAGTCTTTTTCGGATATTTTAAATGACATTGCTGACAAAACAATTCCACAGTCCTCTGCAACTCCACACATACGTAAACCATGGTTTAATAATGAATGTAAACAGGCCAGAAAGTGCAGGAAGAAAGCGGAAAAATATTTTCGCAAACATCCTACAGTCCATAATTTAGACAAAGTTAAAATATCAAATGCCAAGGCTCGACGTGCCTTTAAACAAAATAAGCGTCAGTCTTGGAGGAATTATGTTTCCAAAATAAACTCACGTACACCTATGTCCAAGGTGTGGAACATGGTCCAAAGAATTAAGGGCAAAGGTTCTAAATCTACTGTACACCATCTGAAGGATGGTGATAATCTCTTAACTAATAAAACTGACATAGCAAATAAAATTGGCGAAACTCTTGCCAAACATTCTTCATCATCAAATTATGTCCCTGAATTTTAAAAACACCAGAAACAACAGGAGAAGAAAAGAATAAATTTTAACTCAGACAATGGTGAAGATTATAATGAATTATTTTCACTCCATGAGCTACATAACATTCATCAGAGGAGTGCAACAAAGTTCCACAAAGTACGTGGACAAGTTGTTGGATCGCTGACTTTGTATTTTGCCGATTTGTGGGTGCGAATAATGGATTGGACTAAACCCCTTAAAGTGTATTGGAAATACCAAGTATTAACCAGTCTAGATCCGATTTAGAAATAGTCTTCAACAGCCCATGCTTGTCGTTAGACTACTAGACTCGCTGTCTTGATTGACACACGTTATCGTATCCCAGTTGCGTAGATCGATGCTCATGATGTTGATCACTGGATTGTCCAGACTCGATTATTTACAGACCGCCGAATACTGCTTCACGAGGCGTTAAATATCAAACAAAAGGAATTAAATACTAAGACAGTGTAATATGTAACACTTGTTTCATTTTCACGGTGTATTCATAGCTATCGAAACCCAGCCTTCCATAGACTTGATCAACAGAGATCAAGAGTATTACGTCCCAGCAGAAATGGGATTCACACAGTAATGTCGTGTGTGGAATCGGACCAACAGAAATGACCCTGACCTTGACCAAGTTAATCTTGACCACCACCCAGTGTTGGAATTTGACCTTTTTGTCTGATCAGTATTTTCCATGCATATCTAATCTAATCTGTACGTATTTCTTCAACTCCACCCAGTCACTTGCTATGGTTCTCAATGAAAAACTCATGAAACCGATAGGAAATCAAATGAATTACTTTCCATATTATTTGTTACCGTCAGGGCGCCATGTTGAAGCCGTGACCTTGTGTAAAATGCGTTCACTTGTCACTTCCATGGTGTGAATATGTGTAGTCCGTTTATGCTGTCTCCTGTTTATGATGTGTCCTGTACTGATATCTCACGAGGAGCAGAGCTATTTGCTGTATAAAAGTTGTCAGTTGGTTTCACGAACAGCCGCAGTAGTCTCCCTTGTGCCAGTATAATGAGTGGGCATGTCATGTTAATTCCCCAGCACAATATACTAGTATATGAAATAAGTCTAGACTAGGACAAGTAGCACTCTTCCTTGTGTGTGCAATAATTTTGAACGCTTTGTTCTCTGCACGTACCAGGTTTCCATTGGCGCTACGTGACTAGTGAACAAGGAGAGTTCTCCCTTTTGAGAAAGTTATTACCATACATCTGTGTCTAAATCATTTCCAAACCTTGTGTTCAATGCATCAATTTATTTCGTGATCTAATCCAACATTTATACAGATCAGCTGTCAATAATAACCAGTGTCAGAGGCACAATGAAATGTTCAGAGGTTCCTTCGGCTTGTCTTGAATCTGACACCAGGTGTTTGCATCACTCGTCTACAAAGAAAACACAAGGGCATAAAACGTGGATCTAACGACTCAGGGTGAATGGTATTTTATGCCGTTGTCAGCAATATTTCACAAGAATAGGAAGCAAGAGAAAGCAGCAAATGTGGGGTAAGTATACTACCCAACAAAAGTTTAGACTCACTAGTGTAAATATAGCCACTAACTTCAGTCAACTGTTCTAAACTAGATTTTGCTAAACATTCTATAATGTTTAAAGGGACTGTTTACACATAAACTGATGTACTGTAAAACAAATTCGTAACGTTGAAACAAATATTTTCATGAGTTCAATAAATGATGAAACTCAGTGAAAACTGGCGAATTCTTAACAAAACTTTACACCAAAACGCAGCTGTTCACATCCACGATATTTGCACATGCTTTTAAATAACTGATGCACGATTTGCAGATGGTTCCCTTAAGTTAGTGGAAATATATCTTCGATGTATCCGTATATATAGACATAACATACACTGCACTTCGCAGTACACAAGACACAGACGTCTTGAGAGAAGACACAGTTAAAGGACCCATATCAGATTAGGAACACTTATTGAAGTAACGTTTAATGTTTGGAAAAGAATCTTTTCGATTTTCGTCTTTGATTTCAGTGTTTCTCCGATTCGTTTTCAAGTAAGCACCATTTTATACATTTTTGTAATGTTTTCGTCATATATCATTTTAAGTGCACTTTGTTTTCCCGGATGTTCACATTGTGAATATGCCGGTGAAGGCGTTAATTAGTTCAAGAAAATACACGAAATGAGATACTTTACCTCAGATTCTACAAACGACACTGTATGCAGGACATGTTTTATGTACCGAAAAGTATGCGATGAGAAGAATGTACATGAGGTTTATTGAGAACTTACCGTTAACACAGAGGCGGTTGGTACTTTCACAGTACATTCCTGCAGGGCACTTCTTGACGCACGTGAATTTACTGAAGGACAAAATATATAGCATATTCCCATCTGTAGATCACTCATCTGTGAATTTAGACATGTTATCGTAGATTTGAAACAGCATAATATATAAAATTTGTCTGTTTATTTAAATTAAACATGCGAATCTACTAAACTGTTAAAGAAATAACTTAAGTGTGAGTGAGCAATATTTTAGCAATATTCCAGCAATAGCACGGCATGGGACACCAGAAGTAGGCTTCACACATTGTACCCATGTGGGGAATCGAACCTGGGTCTTCAGCATGACGAGCGGACGCTTTAACCATTAGGCTACCCCACCAACAACCATAACCCCGAATATCAATTACTTAGTTGCAAGAGTGGTGAACTTTCGACTGTCTTGTCATTATTTCGAAACAGCCATTAAAGACTGTGAGAAGCCCATCTGTGGTGTCCCTCGTCCTGGTATCCAACAGGCAATGGCGATGAGGCGATCTTTTGGTCAAATCTAATCTAATCTGTACGTATTTCTTCAACTCCACCCAGTCACTTGCTATGGTTCTCAATGAAAAACTCATGAAACCGATAGGAAATCAAATGAATTACTTTCCATATTATTTGTTACCGTCAGGGCGCCATGTTGAAGCCGTGACCTTGTGTAAAATGCGTTCGCTTGTCACTTCCATGGTGTGAATATGTGTAGTCCGTTTATGCTGTCTCCTGTTTATGATGTGTCCTGTACTGATATCTCACGAGGAGCAGAGCTATTTGCTGTATAAAAGTTGTCAGTTGGTTTCACGAACAGCCGCAGTAGTCTCCCTTGTGCCAGTATAATGAGTGGGCATGTCATGTTAATTCCCCAGCACAATATACTAGTATATGAAATAAGTCTAGACTAGGACAAGTAGCACTCTTCCTTGTGTGTGCAATAATTTTGAACGCTTTGTTCTCTGCACGTACCAGGTTTCCATTGGCGCTACGTGACTAGCGAACAAGGAGAGTTCTCCCTTTTGAGACAGTTATTACCATACATCTGTGTCTAAATCATTTCCATACCTTGTGTTCAATGCATCAATTTATTTCGTGATCTAATCCAACATTTATACAGATCAGCTGTCAATAATAACCAGTGTCAGAGGCACAATGAAATGTTCAGAGGTTCCTTCGGCTTGTCTTGAATCTGACACCCGGTGTTTGCATCACTCGTCTACAAAGAAAACAGAAGGGCATAAAACGTGGATCTAACGACTCAGGGTGAATGGTATTTTATGCCGTTGTCAGCAATATTTCACAAGAATAGGAAGCAAGAGAAAGCAGCAAATGTGGGGTAAGTATACTACCCAACAAAAGTTTAGACTCACTAGTGTAAATATAGCCACTAACTTCAGTCAACTGTTCTAAACTAGATTTTGCTAAACATTCTATAATGTTTAAAGGGACTGTTTACACATAAACTGATGTACTGTAAAACAAATTCGTAACGTTGAAACAAATATTTTCATGAGTTCAATAAATGATGAAACTCAGTGAAAACTGGCGAATTCTTAACAAAACTTTACACCAAAACGCAGCTGTTCACATCCACGATATTTGCACATGCTTTTAAATAACTGATGCACGATTTGCAGATGGTTCCCTTAAGTTAGTGGAAATATATCTTCGATGTACCCGTATATATAGACATAACATACACTGCACTTCGCAGTACACAAGACACAGACGTCTTGAGAGAAGACACAGTTAAAGGACCCATATCAGATTAGGAACACTTATTGAAGTAACGTTTAATGTTTGGAAAAGAATCTTTTCGATTTTCGTCTTTGATTTCAGTGTTTCTCCGATTTGTTTTCAAGTAAGCACCATTTTATACATTTTTGAAATGTTTTCGTCATATATCATTTTAAGTGCACTTTGTTTTCCCGGATGTTCACATTGTGAATATGCCGGTGAAGGCGTTAATTAGTTCAAGAAAATACACGACATTAGATACTTTACCTCAGATTCTACAAACGACACTGTATGCAGGACATGTTTTATGTACCGAAAAGTATGCGATGAGAAGAATGTACATGAGGTTTATTGAGAACTTACCGTTAACACAGAGGCGGTGGGTACTTTCACAGTACATTCCTGCAGGGCACTTCTTGACGCACGTGAATTTACTGAAGGACAAAATATATAGCATATTCCCATCTGTAGATCACTCATCTGTGAATTTAGACATGTTATCGTAGATTTGAAACAGCATAATATATAAAATTTGTCTGTTTATTTAAATTAAACATGCGCATCTACTAAACTGTTAAAGAAATAACTTAAGTGTGAGTGAGCAATATTTAGCAATATTCCAGCAATAGCACGGCACGGAACACCAGAAGTAGGCTTCACACATTGTACCCATGTGGGGAATCGAACCTGGGTCTTCAGCATGACGAGCGGACGCTTTAACCATTAGGCTACCCCACCACCAACCATAACCCCGAATATCAATTACTTAGTTGCAAGAGTGGTGAACTTTCGACTGTCTTGTCATTATTTCGAAACAGCCATTAAAGACTGTGAGAAGCCCATCTGTGGTGTCCCTCGTCCTGGTATCCGACAGGCAATGGCGATGAGGCAATCTTTTGGTCAAATCGTTCACTTGCCACTTCCACAGTTTGCACATGTGAAGTCCATTTTGAAGTCTCGTTCTGATATCTAACGAGAAGCAGAGATATCTGCTGTATTCCTGTCACCCGGTTCCTTCCTCGGAATAATGGCAGAATCCCAGGTCACAGTCCAAACATCCCAGAAAGGAGCACTGGGTCTCACGACAGTTCGGGGGACAACCTGCGGCAAATATTTGGAATAATTAGGGCTGTGCAATATTACCGGTAAACCGGTATATACCGCTACAGTATCTCGCGATACGATTATCGCGATATGGTTCAGATTCTGCTATATATTGGGTCATTCAGACTTAGCTCCCTTTGACTAATCTACCCTTGATTTCCATAGCAATAAAAGGTGCTCTGGTATCAGTGATGTCAGTGATTTTATGTATGTGTAAACCATTTTCATACAGCCATACACAATGGGGACTGGCAGCCTGAAGGTATGGTGTAACAGCAACTAAGAAGATGATGTCGCACACAGAGAGCTATTATGAACTTATGATGTACGCACATGGACAGAAACCTTCCAGTCAATATGTCACAATATGTACTGCAATATCTCTTAAATTATAGCAATATATCGCAATATGTGAATCAGAGCAATATCCAGCCCTAGGAATAATAATGGCGAAGTGAGTTTCAGCGATTTACTGGTTGTTGCGTTTCTAACTAAAGGGCAAAGTACTCGTATAAAAAAAAGATTAAAGTGGCTTGATGTGAATGTTTGAAGCAAGTACTGAGGTAACTCTGCAAACATTTCTGACAAGGAACGTACACGACGAGACACCTTAATACAACTGTGTGGATAGATGTTTTCATAAAACCATGACTTGTAATCATATCCATTCAATGTCTGCTGAAGTCGAAAATTAACAATACAAATTTGAAAAAACGGCCCGACACAAATTCTACTTGCCACGAGCCAACGGGAAACGGCCTATCTCGTACACTTGTTATCATTGCTATAATTACGTTCTATGATTTGAAACCCAGTAAAAATGTTGATGTACAAAATAGAGCAATGTTCTTCTGATAGATCTTGCACAGGAATAACTGCAACTCAGCTGTATATTTCCTATGAATATAAAGTGTAATTAGAACGGGACATCTTATCACTACGATTGTCCAGTTTGAAATTTGTACAGGGATACAGGGCAACGTGCTTACGTAATTTGTAAAGTAAAGGCAACGGCAGGAGCGCACATGTCAACTTTTGAGGATTTGATTAGAATGGGAAACAAACAAACATATACTTACTGTCACCGAACCTCACCCCTGTGATGACAGCAATGGTGAGCGCAGCCAAAACTACGAAAAGCAGTAACTTCGCCATTATCGCTGGAAGCTTGTCACAGAATGAGTCTTTACATTTCGCAAGCCATTTATGTACCCGTGTATGGGGAGCACCCTCTCAAAAATTCAGATACTATGGGGTGCTGAAAGGGACACATTTGTTGGGTGTATTGCATCGTAGAAAGTAGGGATCAAGCGTATGCATGTTTTCTGTTGGTGGTCTGTCTATCAAAGTTGAATGTCTGAAATTTTCTTTGTGATATGATTGCATAATGTATTGCCATTTTGTGTTGGTCATCCTTATTGTACAATCCTCACACCGTTTCACAAAACGTTCCCAGCGCTACGATTATCATACGCATGAAGATTAAACATTCGTAGCTATGCCTCTTTGTGATACACTGGAATTTGGGTAAGTGTTAGGCGTCTTGGAGTAAGTTGCTTTTGGTACATGCAGTACGTGGTGGTGTTGTGAGGCTGTGAGGGTTGAAGAAACGGCTGTGACGGGAATGTTTCTGTCCATGCAAGTATCTATGGCTATCATGTCGTTTTGTTAAATACGTCATGAAAGCATAATGCCTCGCCTTGGGTTTGTGGTCTTATTTGACAAGTCGGATAATGTCACATTCTCAACTTCAGAGAGAACTGCTATGTATTAGAAAGAAACCCGGAGTTCTGAAACTGTTTCCACGTGCACAGGTCAAGATCCGGAAATTGGTCCCTACAGGATTCCATACGATAAGGTTTACACTGCTCCGTATAGGTGCAGATCATTCATCATCAAGTACCTATCAGATATCGCCTGGTTTTAATCCTTTATTGAATCCTTTCAGAGTATATAAACAAGACACGATTCAGTCACCAGTTAAGCAAAACACAATATGTAGGTAATCGGTAATGTAAATACTGACTGTTATAAACCAATCACGAGCGAATATAAGAACTGAGTAAATCGTGTTAGGCAGAAAGAATCCCGAGAGAACGAAGAGAGCATATCAATAACCTAATTACTTGTGTACACCCCTTTCCCCTTTCCCCGCTCACACAAACACACAGGTAGGGATACAAACGGACGCACAAACATAATAACCTCTCTATCACCTGTTGATTCCCAAGTTGAAACGAAAATATAGCCAGGAATCAGTCCGTACAAAGCGTAGGTGCGAAACAAACAAACAAACAAAATGGCAATGTGATATTATTAACAAATGTATCCTAAAATTAACTAAGTTTACAAATGAAGACAAATCACTACAAAGGTATGGCAGTGGTAGTACAAAGTAGAGTGGCAGTATATTCAGAGCCAGTATATTACAAATTGAGTGATGATAGCAATAAAGTCAGAGGTGGTAATATCCACCTTACTGCAACAATGGTGAAGTTTTAAACATAATTGAGTATCCAGGGTAAATATGATCTCCACACAATTCCTGGTCTTCTTGTAACTTGAGATGAAATGTGAGATGAGTGGCAAGAGTTAACTCTCCAGAAGATTCTGCTACTCCCTGGGTCAGAATATAGTGGAACCGCCTATACGGTGGTAGTACCCTGTAGTACCTCCCAGAACTCTGTCTACATAAAACACACCACAACCCCTCACTGACCATCCACATAAACAGTATACTACTCTTGGAACAATGTTACACAATGAATGACACTGCCACATAACACCTTCCCCTCTCTCTCTCTTCCTCACTCTCCTTTGTTTAAGTGTCCCTCTCTCTCTTCCTCCGTCTTTGTCTATCTCCTCGTTCTCTTCCTCTCTCTCTCTCTCTTCCTCTCTCTCCTTTGTTTAAGTATCTCTCTCTCTCTTCCCCTCTCTCTCTCTCCTCCTCCGTCTTTGTCTATCTCCTCGCTCTCTTCCTCTTTGTTTCTCTTCCTCGCTCTCCTTCTTTGTTTAAGTGTCCCCCTCTCTCTTCCTCCTTCTTTGTCTATCTCCTCGCTCTCTCCCCCTCTCTCTCTCTTCCGCACTCTCCTTCGTTTAAGTGTCCCTCTCTCTCTTCCTCCGTCTTTGTCTATCTCCTCGCTCTCTTCCTCTCTCTCTCTCTTCCTCACTCTCCTTCGTTTAAGTGTCCCTCTCTCTCTTCCTCCGTCTTTGTCTATTTCCTCGCTCTCTTCTCTCTCTCTTCCTCTCTCTCCTTTGTTTAAGTGTCCATCTCTCTCTTCCTCCGTCTTTGTCTATCTCCTCGCTCTCTTCCTCTCTCTTCCTCACTCCTTTGTTTAAGTGTCCCTCTCTCTCTTCCTCCGTCTTTGTCTATCTCCTCGCTCTCTTCCTCTCTCTCTCTTCCTCTCTCTCCTTTGTTTAAGTGTCCCTCTCTCTCTTCCTCTCTCTCTTTCTCCGTCTTTGTCTATCTCCTCGCTCTCTTCCTCTTTGTTTCTCTTCCTCACTCTCCTTCTTTGTTTAAGTGTCCCTCTCTCTCTTCCTCCGTCTTTGTCTATCTCCTCTCTCTCTTCCTCTCTCTTCCTCACTCTCCTTCTTTGTTTAAGTGTCCCTCTCTCTTCCTCCGTCTTTGTCTATCTCCTCGCTCTCTTTCTTTCTCTCTTTCTCTTCCTCTCTCTCCTTTTTAAGTGTCCCTCTCTCTTCCTCCGTCTTTGTCTATCTCCACCACACAAAATGACTGTATTAGCCAAATTTACTAACGTCAGGAAATACTCGTTTCATCCGGCGGCCATATGAACAACGTGTGAAATCTACGTATCATCTGGCCGTCAGATTTACACACGTTTAAAAGGGTGTTAAAATAAACGAACATTCGACTCTGCATTTACATGTATTTCACAAGTGTGTAAATCTGGCCATTGTTTTCATGTGTTTCCTTACATGTGTAACATATGTAAATGCTGTGATTGTAGGACATGCATTTCAATACCCTTGAAATCTCGTATAACCAGGGTTAGGTTTGTCATATATTTTATACATGCGTAAATGGTTGGAAATGTGTAAGTATAGTGTTACAAGATTAGCACTACTTTAACATGTATTTCAATGGTGCTGTAATGTAACTGTCACATAGGGTTCGTTAGCGCGTCCGACCACGCCATAATGTACTGAGATAATTAGTAACACATGGTGAAGTGATACCCATGACTGAGCACCACTAATAACGTGTGTGTCTTTCTTGACATACACATGGTGTCTGTTTAAAAGGTTCAAATATCGGGTCTATGGGCCAGAGCGATATGTATGTTAGGGAGCGTGTGTGTGCGAGGGAGAGGGTGTGGCATGGGGTAGGCCAAGGGTGGGGTGGTGGCGGTGGCGGTGGTCGGTGTTGGGGTACTGATAAGTCTTTCTGACCAATAGGTAATATCATTTATACTTTTTGTAATGGAAATTACATAACAGTTTAAATAACTGACCTTAGGTACACTTCTTATATATGCTATACAAGGAGACACTGCTAATTACAATAAAACACAGATCTAGACGAATGTGTTCACACAGACATGAACCGGTAGGTCCCTAATTTTAGTGCTCACTTGTATGAGTTATCCGACTGATCATAACTGAACAAACTTCATTATCTATACTTTCATAAAAGATGATTACAATGTATTAATGATTCCCGGTGTAAATTACTTTTGTAAATGTGTGAACATGCACATACTTGGTGTGACCTCTTTTTGATTCGGAATACAGGTATTATTCCATACGGACGTTTTCTCCAATTTCAGTTACCCGACGGAATAAAATGTAGACATATTTTGTTTCCACCTCTTGGGTAGACTAAAGAAAATTGTAGTGATTGCAATTAGCTCATAATTTTTATATTAGACCTATTTTGTTTCCATCTCTTGGGCAGACTTTAGGAAATTGTAGTGATTGCAATTAGCTCATAACTAAGCAGTTTCGATAATTATTGAAGCTTACTACCTGACAGCATTATGTTGCTCATGCGTTTTTTTTGCTTTTGCTTTTTGCTGTCTAATTTGTTATACATTATATAATCATGTTAATCATTTTGGTATCTCAATATCATGGAATATAATATGTACTTATAAATCTATCAAAGTACCGAAACGTATTATCTGTATGCTTTACTGTTATTTGGTGAAACTGTTAAAAGTACCTTCGTACAGAATTTCGTGGAAACAGAAACTGAAAGTTACTAGATCAATGAAAAACTAAATTGGATAAAGATCGCAAACAATCATTATTTATATTCCACTTTTTAAATTATCAGTGTGCAGATCATGTCACTAACATAAAAACTGAAGGATATATGGTGACAAAACTGGGTTCAATCTTGAATGTATAATAAATGTACCAACAGTATCAATGAATGATGGGGTACACTCGTGGCTAAAGCGTTCGCCTGTCAGGTTAAAAATCGGTGTTTGATTCCCGACAAAGGCACATTAAGACTGAAAATATATTATTTTGATAAAAGTAAAGATCTTAATTTCAATTGATAAAAAGAGACGAAGTAATTTGGAAGATTCACCGACTAACAACATCTATATTGGGGCTACAGGTGCAGGAAGCATCTTCAATTATAAAATCACATTCCACAAATATCAGATAAAGGTTTAAATGACGAGCATATTTATTGGTACCTTGCCAAGCTCTGTCCTCTCCCAATGCAGTATAACCAGAGTGCTGTGGTCACTACCTCCGGTGGTCAAATTCAGCAATCCCATTACTTTACAGTATTTTCTTACAGTTGTTACAGTGACTAAGTCAGGACAGCCATCGTCCAAATATTTAAAAAGTCCAAAACTATGTACTCAAGACATGTGAGACTTTATTGTAATACATAAATGACGCTAAGCTGTATTTTTAATCACTACTGTACATCCTTATCACTACCGCATTGTAAATTGACTTGTCAGCCCATTAATTATTGTATAAGACATTTATAACCTCCATTGGTAATCCCCCTTGGCCGTGTCTGCCATCACATCAACTGGTCAAGGAAGTACTATTGTTTTTCTGTCTGTCCATTGATGAGTCGTCGCCTGACCATTGTTGTCAAAAACTGTATATATACTTAGTATGCTCACATCTAGACAGCGAAGGAGTACGAGTGCCGTATTTGGACTGTCTGTTGGGACGACCACGAGCAGGATAATGCCGCTCGTTGGA